TTCCAACTTTTGAACATGTTCCAAATTCAATTGAAAACGAAACATTACGTAGACTTCAATGACTGATGCTGCAATTTGCTTTGTATTCATGGCATACGATAAAACCAACTCGGACCGTGTTCAACTTTGGAATATTGAAATCGATCTATTAATTACAGGTTTATACCAGATCCTTAAAGGCAGCGACGAAGTTGATTGGAAGCAGATCAAAGACAATCTTGACAAATCTTGGCAGCAAAGCAGCGACCTGGATAAATCAGGATACTCGTCAGAGGCTGTAATTGATGAAAACAACCCTGCTCCATCACTCAAGGCAACACTCAGGCCAGCTGTTTAAGCTGCAGGCTTTGCTTGTGGTAGTGAGGCTGTCAAAAATAAATACTAGTGGCAATATTGTGTGGTCTGCACTAGTACTACTCAAATAAATTTGACAGCCAACAGACTAGGATTTGCTACTAGCTAGTGTCCAATGTCTGCTTACTTTGTGTTTCGTATTGTGTGATCCAAAAATATTCCATGTCTATGGCTATTTCTAATATTCCATCATAATAAAAAATAGTTGATGTCACATCACATTCCTTAGTTAGACTAATTATACTAATTTCCTCACCTTCTATAATATGTTGAACAAAAGCAAAATAATTAACAAAGTCAGAATTTGTTGACAATCGCACTTCAAAAATTTACGAGAATTAACTGTTATATGTGTTCTTTTTCTTAACTTCGAAACATCAATGTATAAATTTTTTTTTGTTAGAAAAATAGTATCGCATGAATAATACTTTTTAATCATGTGTTTTTCATTGATTTTTCTAAAATTATTCATTTGAATTATATGTCAACTTTGGAGGTATGTTACAAGTTGATAAAAAAATTAGGTTAAAATAACTTAATTAATGTCGATAAAATTTTGTTTGATATAAATAATTCCTCCAACATCTAATTTGACTTGATTTTAATATTCGATGACTTGAACCCAAATGACATCATTTTGAAAAGGAAAAACAAAAAGTAATATATCCACAAAAACAGACCAAGCCCTACACAATGAAAACATGATATTAATGGACATGTGACTTGTTTTGGGAGTTAATGCATGATTAAACAAAAGAAAAGCTTTTCCCTCCCCCAATCTTCCAAGAAGATGGCCATCTAGTCACTGATGTTTCTCAAAGTAAAGTTCCTTCTCTTAAATACTTATTGCAATCTTCTTTTCAAATTACTCAAAAATCATATGAAGGATTTTTTTGCTTTTCACTATTTTATCAAATGTATTAACAAGCAAACTCTAGCCTTGTGTCAATAATTATGCAACAGTCTGTGAGCTAGTTTTTCATTTATCCCAAAGACTATACTTGCCAATTGAATTTTATCGCTGGTAAGATTCAATTACAATAAAATCAACTTCCCTATAATTCTCCTTGACAACGTATTCATCCTTAACATGCTAACGTGAGACCCATAGTTATACCAATTACAAACTTTCAAAGCACCATTTTCATTATAAAGAGAACTTATGCTATACATAAACAAGAAATATAACAATCCACTCATTTTTTAGTCTTGAATAACATTGATAATATTTAATATCAAAATTCAAATGAATTTGAAAATTGGTGTGTGTAGACGCTATTTCTTAGATATATGCTTTTATTTACGCATGTCATTTTATTTTATTTTATTTTTGTTATTCTATTTGAATCAAGCCCCACACCCAACTATTAATTTCAACCATGAAGCCCAATACCTGACCCAAAAGAAAACCCAAAAGCTAGTAAACAAAAAACCTCGAATCAAATCAGATTAAGTTAAATAAAAAAACAAAGTAAGTAACAGCTGGACGTCTGGCAGTGTGCGGGCGCAAATGCACCTTGCCAGACGGGAAAAAATGGCGTCTGGCAGAAAAAAGGGAGGATCCATTTAGCAACAAATAAATTCAGAAAACAGAAAGGCCCCAAGTTCTCTAGCCCAAGCTAGGTAAAAATCACACCCCTTTTTCTGTGATTTATTGTGTTTTGAATTGCTTGGGCTAAATGTATTTCTTGGTGATATACAACAAAGTTGAAAAAAATCTTAGCATAATACTCTAGAATTTTTAGATAATATTTTAGAATTTGGAAATTAGTGTGAGCAAAAATATAAAGATGAGAATAGTAGCAAATAAGCAAAAAAAATGTTTTTAAGGTAATTAGTTAAATTAATTTTTTTTAAAAAAAGGAAGAAATTGGATTTAGGGGAATGGCTATTAGAAATATATACAAAACACAAAATAAACTGTCTAATGAAATATGTTGATGTTGATAGATTTACAAGGATAGATAAAATATAAAAATATAAATGAATGAAATAAATGATAGGCTCAAATATGAATATAGATTAAATTAAGTAAAATTGGAAATTATTACGTTATTAGTGGGGTATTCTTGAATAAAAATATACAAAAGAGCATGGGAAATACGTATATGCTAGATTATAAAATGTATATTTAGTGAATAAGCCTAAAACAAAAAAAAAATCTTATGTCAAGTATTAAAAATGGTATAGTTAGTCAAATAATTATAATAAGATAGGTGTGAGAATTAACCTTAGAAAATTGAATTTTAAAATACCGTGATATTATCTATAGGTATAATACATACAAATGAACCGATGATGGGATCATTGGCTGGGACGCAAGGAGTCACAATCCCATATGAATTTTTCCTAGCCTTGAGAATTAAATTAGAATCCCACCAGTAAGATGGGAAGGTCCTAACTCTGAAATTTTAAGATTTTTAATTAAAATAAAATAAAAATTATTTTATAATAAATTAGCCCAAACATAAATACAAATATAATAAATATAAAAGAAAAAATGACCTATACTCATTTAAGTTGTTAAGAGATAAAGATAAAATTATAAAAATGATACTCATGATAATAATAAATAAACAAGTAGGTAAAATATTCAATGGTAGGAAATTTATAATGTAGAATATATTTAATATATAAAAGTTAAATATTTAGTTATGTGAAATATATAATAAATTTATAAATGATTATGAAAAAATTGAATAGGATAGATAATAAAAAGATATATACATAAGTAAGGTGAAATATTTTACTTCAAGGCCATAGGGGTTAGGTAAAAAAAAAAGAGGAATATCTATATATAGTAAGATGGATAAACCCCAAAATAACCAAGATAACATAAAAAAATTTCATAATATACATATTTATAGAAAGAAATGATAGAAAAGGGAAGTCTTAAGGAAATAAAAAATATATATGAGAATTTAAAAAATAAAATAATGAATTTCGTAAGTATAGCATGCATCATTATTGCATCGTATCATAACATATGAATACTTATGCCAGTGACACGGCATAAAGGGAATATGTGACACGGTAAGGTAAGAATATATGACACGGTTTGGAGGGAATATGTGAGATGACTTGGTAAGAATATTTGACATGCCAGTGTGAGAATGTGACATGCCATAGTGTGAATATGTGACACTCCATGATAAGAATATGTGACACAACATGGTAAGTATATGTGACACGATTGTGACATGGTAGGGTTCAGAGTTTGTGACATATAGTATTCATTTGGTAATAGGAAAATAACTTACTAGGAGAAAATTTTTTCTATGTAAAATATTTTATAAGAAAATTTAATGTTTTCTATTGTTTAGATAAATTGTCAAAAACATTTTTCTATTGTTTGGATCATCTTGTGGAAAATATTTTCCACCATCATTGGTAGAGTTATTTGGGTGTTGAAAGGATAAATAAGAGTTGATTACAAAACAATTGTGCCATTTGGTTTTCACATTAAAATTAAGAATGAGAATGAAAAAGAAAAAAATCAACACTAATATTTTCCAATGTATCTAACCACCTATTTTATGTGTCCTTTTAATATTACTTAGGTTATTTGTTGTGTAATTTTGTAAAGGGAACATATTATCTTATTCTATTCATTTTAGTCAAAATATTTTTCAAGTTAATTCTAATAAATGCAAATGGACCTCTCATTAATTAATTATAAATACAAATGACAAAGGGACTAATATAAATTTTGTACCAACCGGCTTCTTGTCTTTGTTGTGGCTTGTGCACGCTGCAAACAAGCGTTCAAGTGTGTGGAGGCCCTGTTCTATCCTCCGCCTATGCGTCTGCAACTTTTCGAGCAGTGTTAAATTCATAAGTTCACATCTCTACTATCTTTGCTTTTCCCATCATACATCTGAACACCTTAGCGATCCTATTCAATAGAAAGGGAGAGAACGACACCTTTGCCTCAATCCACTTTGTAATTAGAACGTTGGTTCTTTTAGCGAGTTGAAAGTTAGAAGCAAACAACGATCAAAAGAGCAACACAATGGACATGTGGCTTGTTCGGGAGTTCAGGCTCGATTAGAGGTAGGAAATGGGAGTAAAGGATGTGGATTCTATGCTTTTTACTTATTCAAGTCATTGTCGCATGATAGTATTTGGTCTAGCTGACATATATTATTTGGGTTTTATATGATAAACTCGAAACAAGACAAAAGCTCGATAGTTATAGGGATACCATTGTCAAGCTCGATAGTTATAGGGATACCATTGTCAAGATGGGGACAACTAGATGTCAGTTTATGAATTAAATTGGCACATGTAGTTTCCGAGATGGATCTCTACAAAAATAACAAAAACCTTTGTACGTACCGGTTTCTTGTCTAGCCTGGCTTTGATGTGAACAATGCTAGTTCGTTTAGGCTTTTTCTGTGGCCAGGGTTCTTTTAATATTACTATAGTTTAGTTGTTGTGTAATTTTGTAAACGGAACATATTATCTTATTCTATTCATTTTAGTCAAAATATTTTACAAGTATTCTAATAAATGCAAATGGACCTCTCATTAATTATAAGTGCAGATGAAAAAAATAATAATAAGAATTTTGTACCAACCGGCTTCTTGTCTTTGTTATGGCTGGTGCACGCTGCAAACTAGTATATAAGTATGTGTCTGTGCAACTTCTCGAGCACAAGCAAAAGCAAACAAATAGCTAAGGTTTAGAGATCTGGTATCCAAAAGACACAAAACTATCATGGCTTCTAGTCAGGTTAAATCCGGTGTTCCAGTTTACACAAAATGCCAGCTTCAGAATCATGCTGGAAAGGCCCAATTTGTAACGCTGGATAGCCAGAAAGATTGGCATGGGAGTGGCAATGCCCCGAAAACGATTCAAGATCAAGCGCCCGGTGACTTTACTCACAATGCAGATTCCGCAGGATCAATTGGAGGTGTTGTATATGTTCTCAGTAATGAGATTAAGTGGGTTGTTGCATGGAGCAACAAAGAACAACAACCTAACAAGGTATTCTATTAATTTATATATTGATATTTCCATAATATTTCGTTTTTAATGTTTATCTTAATTAAAATGTTCCAACTTTTGAACATGTTCCAAATTCAATTGAAAATGAAACATTACGTAGACATCAATGACTGATGCTGCAATTTGCTATCAATGACTGATGCTGCAATTTGCTTTGATTCATGACATACAATAAATCCAACTCGGACCATGTACAATTTTGGAATATTGAAATCGATCTATTAATTGCAGGTCTATACTCAGATCTTTAAAGCCAGCGACGAAGTTGATTGGCAGCAGATCGCAGACAATCTTGACCAATCTTCGCAGCAAAGCAGCGATCTGGGTAAATTGGGATACTCGTCAGAGGCTGTAATCGATAAAAACAACCCTGCTCCATTACTGAAGGCAACACTCAGGCCAGCTGCTTAAGCCGCAGGCTTTGCTTGCGGTAGTGAGGCTGTCAAAAATAAATGCTAGTAGCAATATTGTGTGGTGTGCACTACTACAACTAAAATAAATTTGACAGCCAGCAAACTAGGATTTGCTACTAGCTAGTGTCCAATGTCTGCTTACTTTGTATTTCGTACTGTGTGATCCAAAATATTCCATGTCTATGGCTATTTCTGGTATTTCATCATAATAAAAAATAGTTTATGTCACATCAAATTCCTTAGACTAATTATACTAATTCCCTCACCTTCTCTAATATGTTGAACAAAAGCAAAACGATTAACAAAGTCAGAATTTGTTGAAAATTTAACTTGAAAAATTTTATGAGAATTAATTGTTTTATGTGTCTTTTTTCTTAATTTCGAAGATATCAATGCATAATTTATTTTCTTTATTAAAAAAATAGTATCGCATGAATAATATTTTTTAATCATGTGTTTTTCATTGATTTTTTTAAAATTATTCATTTGATTTATATGTCAACTTTGGAGGTATGCTACAAGTTGACAAAAATTTGAGTTAAAATAACTTAATTAAGATCGATATAATTTTATTTGATATGAATAATTCTTTCAACATCTAATTTGATTTGATTTTAAAACTCAATGAGTTGAACTCAAATGACATCATTTTAAAGAGAAAAAAAGCAAAAAATAATATATTCACAAAAACAGACCAACCCTTACATAATGAGAACAAGATATTAATGGACATGTGGCTAGTTTTGGGAGTTAAGGTACGATTAAATAAAAGAAATGTTTTCCCTCCTTCTATCTTCCAAGAAGATGGCCATCTAGTCACCGATGTTTCCCAAATTAAAGTTCCTTCTCTTAATACTTATTTCACTCTTGTTTTCATATTACCCAGAAACCATATGAAGGTGTTTTTTGCTTTTCACTATTTTATTAGTGTGTTATCAAGCAAACTCTAGACTGGTGTCAATAATTATGCAACAGTCTATGAACTAGCTTTTGCATTTAACCCAAGGACTTGTCAATTGAATTTTATTGCTGGTAAGATTCAATTATAGTAAAATCAACTTCCTTGTAACACTCCTTGACAACTTCATCCTTAACATGCCAACATGGACCCAGTAGTTGTACCAAATTACAAACTTTCAAAGCACCATTTTCATTACAAAGAGAGCTTATGCTATACATAAAAGAGAAATATAACAATTCACTCATTTTCAATCTTCAATCATATCATTAATATTTAATATCAAAATTCAAATGAATTTGAAGATTGTTGTGAAACTTTTTATTAACTATTTATTTTTCTACATACAGATTGATAAATTGGATTGGCCAACTTGATTCATTCACTTTAACTATAATCATTTTTAAAGTATTTAATCCAACAATTTTGACTGTTGTTGGGTTGTTTGAAGACAGTTGCATCTATCTCAATCAATTAGTCAACTTAACACGTCTTTCAACACCTAATCTAGCCACCATGATTAAAATATGTTTTAAATTTTATATATAATATATATATATATATATATATATATATATATGACACTATCATGTCAATAAGCTGACTCTTGTTTTAGAGCTTTGTAAGTGTTGTTAAGATTTTACACTATTAAAATTTTTTTAGGTACAAATTACAAATTAGAGAAAGACTCAATCTAAGATCTCTATTCAAATCACAACACCTTTTTACCATATTAAACCTATTGATATTATTATTAAATAGTTTACATTAATTTTTCAAAACGAAACGTGGGTTTCATCCATAAACAAAATTACTGTCGGAGGAGAAGAACAATATGAATTTGCTATTGAAGCATGAAGGAGAATTACTGGACTTAAAAAGCCTAAGAGACGCTTGCAATGTAGAAATTGAAGTTGGAGAACTATTGTTAAAGATTGTGTGAAAGCCCAAGTAGAGATAATTCATGGAAACCATGACTCCTTACACCAATTGCAAAAGGTCTTGAGGCCAGTGAAGCCATCGAAAGAATTGATAGATATGGACTTGTTCTTGGTAGCTGCATGGGCATGTCTTTGGGCTGGACTTGGCTTTCGGTTTTAATTTTGTTTTCCCAATTAATCTTTTCCTGTTGTCATTCTTTTTCTAAGACCAAAGGTTGAGGAGTTTGGTATAAGATTCATGTCAAAGTGACCATATGTTAAAAACTCAAAATTGAGCTTAGATTATCAACTTTTTTTTGTCATGATATATAATAAAAAAAACCTAAATCAACTTCAATATTTTTTTATCAAAATTTATATTGCTAATTTCAATAGAATCACCCTTGATATTTTAGTGAGATATGAATTTTAACTATAATTATACTTTTTCTTTCTTGTAAGATTTCTCCATTTTATTTATTTTTTATTTTCCATTTTTTTAGCAATATAAAGATACCTAATCATTTTGTTTTCTTAATTATATAATTTAATCATTCTCCATTAATACCAAAAAATATAGGTGCATTGATTAAGGATGAGCAAGGATCTAATTAGGTCATCTATGAACCACTCTAGACCAATGGGCTTGGGTCAATTTTATGCTAGGTTTGTAACTTGACCGGTGGTTCATAAGCCAAATTCTTTAGGATCTTATGATGGTCATGGTCCTAGACGTTAAACATCGACCTATCTCAAAATGATGGATTGAACTGTTGAATCAAGTTTTGGATCGATTTTAGAATAATATTCATTTTAAAAATATATACGAAATAAAATAAATATTTATAAATTGTAAACCTTCAACTCATAAAAAGAATGCATTTTTAAACCTTTGAATTAAAGAGTTAATTAAAATGTTTATATCAAATACACATAATAGTATAAAAGTAAAGAAAACAAGCTACCAATAATATTAAATAAAACATTAAGCCTTTAAAATACTCGAACATAACAATAAATGAATTATAATGAGAATTGTAACATAGATGTACAAATTTGCTTATAGTTTTCATGAATTTGTACATTTTTCTATTATAATTTACATTTATGATAGTGGAATAGTATTGCTTTAAATATTATTTCTTAAAAAAGTATAAGGTATAAAGTTGAACCAAGATCATACTAAACTATACAGTTGATCCTAAGATTGGTCCTATAAAACATTGAGTGGTCCACGATCCCAACTGAGGACTGCCCAAAAGGGCCATGCTCACATAGCATTAATAAAATCATTTCTAAAAATAAAAAAAATTATATTAATACAATTTCAACGTATAACTTTTATAATAATTGTAATTTGGCATTTTATGAATTATAATGACTTATAAAAACATTTTTAAGAGATGACAAATTATGACTTAACAATGTATTAAGTATGAATTCTAAAACCAATATGAATAAGTTACTTCCAATTTCAAGGAGTAGGTTTGGTTTCGAGTGTCACATTCAACATGTAATACACTCGAAACATGGATACACATGAATCCTACACAAACCAAATAAGACTAGACAAGCAAATCTCGCCAATGTCTTGGACTCCCCCAAGTTCCAACTTTAGTCAAATAAAAGTCCATGCTCCAATGTTTGATGTCAAACACATGGGAAGTTGGACCCAAAGCAATAAAATCTTTGATTGTGAGGAGTTTCATGTGGAAGGGTATCCTCTTTGAACTTCTAAACCAAAGCAAATCAACTAAAACAATTTGAGTAAAGAATATTCAAGATCATTAACTAATGGAATATAAAATAATGAAGGAATCAATATAATAACATTTTATGACTTAAATTAATGGGCTGCTGACAAAGACTTAATATTTGAAACCATGTAACCACATTTCAAAATTCATTATCAAAAGTTCAAAATTATATTTTTTTTATTAGGTTCACAAAACATTACATTGAATATTTATTGTTTGCATTTAATGTATAGACCTTAAAAAAAGTTTCACAATGATTTTTTTTAGTATTTATTTGTTTCCATAAATAATTTCCATCAAAGATTAAACAATAATTTATTAAGTGATATATATTGAAAAGAATCTATTATTTAAAATAAAAAATTAATAATTATTGAGTTCTCAACATCAATTGCTCGTGTTTGGTATATAAAACATAACTTTATATAATATCCAAATAGGATAAAGCACGTCTTACCTTGATTTAAAAGTTCAAGTAATCTATTAATCTCAAATTTTATTAAAGAAAAAAACCCATACATCTTATTCATCAATTGAATAATTTATTTATTTTTTATTTTTATTGTGAGTGTTTTAATAAAATATAAGATGTGTACCTCGTTTAACTTAGTTGGTAAAACGTAAGGCTCTTAATCTTGTGATCGTGAGTTCAAGTCCAATGGTAGATGTTTATTATAAATTTTGGATATGCACCGAATATCATCAAAAATGAGTGAAAATAGTACTAAGATGAATGAACTATATAAAGAGATTGGTTCACATTCGATGCATCTTCAAGGATACGAAGCAAGTAGGCATTGACATGGCACCCAACTTGTAAAAATACGTATCAACAAAATCAAATGAAATGAAATTGATGTCAAATGGAACTCACCTATCATTGTCTATGTGTGTGTCGGACGCGCCAGCGTTGAAAGGCTTCACACTCCATCCATTGAACCAAGACGGTTTCATACGACTATGCTGTCGTCTCCAAGACAAGCCTTTGCCCCTTTCACCCAGCATTCTTGGATTTTGGGAGCATCTTTCATATTCTTTCTTCATTTTTTTATTTCAATTATTTTTTTTTAATATCTCATCGTATCTCCTTCTTTTCTTGGGTGCATGTGGGTGAGAATGAGATGGTTTTATTATTTTTTTTAATAGACAAGATGGTTTTGTTCGAGCAAGTAAAACATTGCTGCTTGTGGTTTTTGGGATTGAGTTAATTATTCAAAATATAAGTCATAGTGTTTTGTTATTTTATTAAGTTTAATATGTAATTAGTCCATATTCTTTGTCAAAGTAATGGATTTAATTCATATATAATATTTTTTTTAAAAAAAAAATCTTTACATTTTTTAAAATGAACAATATCAATCAAATCATTAATGTTGTTAAAATGTTTTCATTATTTATATTGACATGCTTTTGATTGTATTGATATGGTATTGAATTTGATTACCTGACATTTAAGAATGATGCAATAAATATGTTAATGTGTTGTTAACTGTTTAAATCCAATTTGCAATCTCTATAATCAACTCTGGCCTATGGTGAATCATCCCTAATTCAAATTTGAATTTAAGTATTTTAAAGATTTTTTAAAGTATGTCAAGTT